GTCAGTCAGCAGGGTTTAAGGTGGTACCTAACACTACAGGGAGATAACTCAAGTAAAAGGGAGTAAAATCAGCTAAACGTTTTAATTACGTTGTGTTGTTAAGGGAATATTAAGCTTCTCAATGATCAAAGTTAGTGTTTGTCAAACTGCTATATAACCAGTCTAATTTTTCTGATAAATTGGTTGGTTCAAATTTTTTGAAATTTTGATGTTTTTGTCAAAGGGTCAAAGTAAATACTTTGTCAAAATTTTATGAAAATTAAACGAGCCAAATTAATTTTAGTGAAGGTGTTGGGTACCACCTTAAGAACATCCTTTGTTCGACCTGTTAGTCAAATGCGTTTTTTTAAATATACTTTTTCACTTTTTTGGTCTTTTGGAAAATGTTGTTTGTGCTGTATTTAGACCCCTCTACCAAGAAATTTGTTTTGCATGCACACGTATAAAAAGGTTTTTATCCAACGCAATCATCGGTTTGAACGTTGTTTTCAATTAAGACTTATATATATGTATATATATAATTCGTCTAAACAACAGCCCAACAGTGTTAGATTTGTAAATTTGCGGAAGCAAATTTGTTGTTCTTCCCTGGCCGATATTCGAACTCATGCTACTGAGATATCGTGGCACCAAATCGCCGTGCACTATATCGGACGCGCTAGACCAATCGACCACCTAGGCTCTATAATAATAAAGCTTTCGGTGGTCGGGTGTTACCTTTCCTCGTCAGTTTTTATCTAGCGTCGTAACACAGTACATGATATATATATAATGCATGTAGATGGAACTGTTACAGATCAGCTGAATTATCTATTGTAAAGGATCCTGCAAATTAATGTAAGATGCAGTCACAGAAATAATTATATTATAAGTACGTCTGAACCAGTGACGACTCTACAACAGATTTTATCCATCGGATCACCAGCAGTGATGGTGATACAAAGCTGAAAATACACTCTGTATATATAAATCGTCTAAACAACAGCCCAACAATGTTAGATCTGTAAATTTGCGGAAGCTTCCCCGGCTATTAAGTAAGTAAGTAAGTAAGTAAGACTTAGTAATCTTTATCTAAAGTCTAGTTTTCATATATGCAATCAACATAGAACCTGAGCAAAACTCAAAGTCGCACTACCAATACGTTTAACTTTATTAGCAGGATCCGGACAATATTGGACCAAAGATCGAAACACACTCAAAAAGAGCAAAGAAAAGTATATCTAAAACAAACAGTATCTATAGAAAAGGATAAGTACACAAAGGATAAACTTGCTACCATTAAGATGGTTTCCAATATGACAAAAAAAAAAAAAAAAAAACATTTGGCAATAGAAATAATTAAACACCGAGAAATATAAAATATTAGATAGACGAATTATTAAATTGTCACTTTATATTGCCCTAGTATGTTATACATAAGTTTATTGTGAGAACTTCATTTATTTCTCATGTCCAGTCAATAACAGATGGTTGTTTAATATACAACTTTTTAATTAATGAACCACATGATGAACACATACGCATCCATCTCCTCTTTGATTGCATGAATACGGATTCAAATGAGTTGAATTATTGACTTGCAAGTCAATAATACATCAGTGGTGATTTGTTTTTTGTTGTTGCTTATTTTGACGAAATTGAACTAAAAGCTACCAGGAATAACCATTTCGTTGACTGGTCATGCACACACAAAAAAACCAACCTTCTTATACAGGTAAAACGATGATTTGCATACATTTTTAACCTATAACAAGAAATCAAACAGACCTAGAAAAATCCGATTGTACGTGCTCGCTATCTTTTTATATTTCTATTTATGTTTCTATATATCGGGTTATATGACTGTCGGCAGTCTTCATGGAAAATCTGATGACGTCTGGTCTTAAATACGCACAAAATGCTGATAAATTTTAGCCGTCCATGCATTGTTAATTTTTTTTTTTTTTTTTTTTGAACTTTGGATATTCGTTATAATATGTGATAAATAGAATATGAGAATATGGGTCAAATTTTTGAACATGAATTTGACAATGCCATGACAAAAAAAAAAAAGAAAAAGACCAAAAAGACAAACAACAGTATATACAAAACACAACATAGAAAACTAAAGTTTGAGCAACACGAATCCCACTCCAATCCTCGCATACCCTTTTTAAGCTGTGGTCACACCTTACCGGATAGCTCGAACGGACGCCGAACGGTTGAAAAAAAAGTTTTCCGTTGACAAAATTTGTATCCGTTGGGTGTCCGTTGGTATACTGATCAAATAAAACGAACGGGTAACGAATGCCTAACGGACTCTCACAGGATATGCAACGTACGAGAAACGGAAACGTACCGGACAGAACGGACGTCGAACGTACATCCAACGGACGAGTACCGCATAAAACGGACACCTAACGGAAGCGTACCGGATAAATCGGATGAAAAAGATAAGCGGAAAATTAAAAGCGATAATAATAATACATATCTTTCAGGACTAAGTAATGATCTTGCCCACCATCTCCTTTGTTTTCTCTTTCTTCTCCTTTCGACAACTAGTAGGCTTATATTTGCAACATTTAAGTTCAATCGGACCTGAATAAGAGCTGCTTGATAGTGAAGACATGCTCTTACTCCAAGATCCATCATGAGTAATAGACGTTTATGACACTCAAGAAATCTGACATATCAATAATTGTCATTTCTGAGTGACGCGAAATTTTCAATTGGCATTTATCCGTTTTATATTCGGTAGGTATCCGTTATCCTTCCGTTCATGTCCGTTTCCCATCCGTTCATCATCCGTTTTATCCGTTATACGTCCGGTAGAAGTCCGTTGGTGAATTTGTCTACCGGACCTCTAATGGATGTATAACGGACAAGTAACGGACACAAAACGGAAACGAAACGGACGAGTCCCGTACAAAACGGACGCCTACGGACGTTCAACGGACACTTCATTCGTTGGACGTCCGTTCAAAGTTTTGAACAAGCTCAAAATTTTCCACCGGACAGAACGGACGTCGACGGATAAAACGGACGCTAAACGGACATGAAACGGATATGGACGGACGTCTAACGGATAAGAACGGACGTCTAACGGACATGAACGGATTGAAAAAAAGTTATCCGTTCGGCATCCGTTCGAGCTATCCGTTAAGGTGTGACCGAGGCTTTAGCTTAGTGAGGAGTATGTTTCACATATCCACCTGATTTCGTTTTTTTTTTTTCTTTTCAAAGAAAGTAATATGTTTTAAAATGGAATAGTCGATTTGCCAATTCCGTTATTTACCCTGTAATAAGAGATCTATTTTGAACCGGTTGTTTCTATAAGAGGGGCATTCACTGACCGCTACAAAATGTATCAGAAAGATCATTTTTATCTGTGCGTAATGTGCGTAATCTTTTAAGTTTTTTTTCAAATCTTTAAATTGCATTTAACATTTTGTTAGGCTAAAATCTTTTGATATCTATTTTTATTTTTCATTAGAAATTTGTCAAAACGCCTTTAATGTCACTTTCAAAACTGACATGTACAACAGAAACAGACTACAGTTGACAAAGGGAAACAATGGTGGATATCAACTATCAGGATCACATCATATTTCACACACATCGGTCACGTGGTCAGGTCAGAAAGTTAAGGAAGTCTTGGACCAACAACATGTCACATGCATGGAATATCAAATTATGTGTAATGTCGCATTAACACAGGTTTCTAGCAGACTGAAGGGATCAAAATAGAAAACTGGTTATAAATTAACAATTGACATCTGTGTAAAAATATCATTGCATTTTCTTTTTTCGTCTGTGTGAAACCAAGGACAGTTGCTTTGAAAAAAATCATATGGTACCATCGATCAACATTCGCAGAAAAAATGACAGCATTCTTTTCAGTTTTTGATTATACAAGATAATTGAAAAATGAAATACATCTTGTGCATGCATAACACTTAATTGGAATATTATGCATTAGTTTAATATAATTCAACGGTGGACAATATATTTTGTATTTTTTTTACACGTAAACGGTAATTTATAAACATATCTGTATCTAATTTTAAGAACTAAGGTTATACCCTGTAAAATTGATTAAAACCGGTTAGGAGACATTTTCCGGGTCGAACAAATTAACACACCCCTCCCAAAAAAACAAAAACAAAAACCAAGTAAAGAATCTCTTGAAAATAAACTAATCGCGACCCAACATAAAGCAAATAATGCATTAAACAATTAAATTTCTCTTTTTGATAGGTGATTGGTCATCCCAATGATCATTACATTTTATACTAAATAGAAAAACAAACTTTTTCAAACAAAAGAAATCCTGAAAATTCCTTAACTCGAACGTTATATTTGTGACCCGGTAAATAAATGGTTGGTGACTTCTACCGTGATCGACAATTACCATTTGAAAGGTCTCAGTTCGGAATACAACGATCAATGAATAAAACAATCTTAAATTTATAAACAAGATTCCCGGGAATTCCAGTGTCAAACAGTAAGAACCAGGCCTCAAATTACCTGAATATATAACAATCTATACGTATTTTTTTTAACCAGTATTGGAATTTAAATTTTACAAAAGGTGTCGTACGTTACCTTATTAACATTCCCGCTTTGGCCGTTGATATATTCTTACAAGACACTACGATGATACTTATTATACTATCTTGGTCTCTACGATTTATTTCTAAATTGTGCAAGAAATAATGCAATTGTTTTTTTTTTCTTAACTAATTTCAGTGACATCGTGCTTAACTTAGTCTGAAAAATACATTATCGGATTCTTTAAACTTTACAAGTTCAAATCTGAACCTTGCCTTCCAGAGTCCAAATTGTACATTTTATTCAATTTGAATTAGAAACATTGTAGACTTTACTTTTTATATATATAAAAAATTAGGATAATGTAGCTTTTTTATGTTTAAAATACAAAGTTTTCCATTTAATTCATCTTGAGTAAAAAAAACAGTCTTGATTTTCTATAGCATGAAATGAACATTTGTGTAACTTACCTAAAGGATAAGCACTAGTCAAAACTGCAATACTGGAAAATAGAACTCCATAAAGTACATACATACTAAATTTCATTTTGTGTTCCGTTATGGATACCATACATATACCCGACTTTTATACCAACAAATTGCAAACATGATCAACAGAGTGAATAGGCTAGTCTGTTTACACAAAGATGAATAAGCAATAAAATTTGATTTCAATACATGTTTAAGAAAATGCAACCTTGTGCCCACGGACCTTTAACGACCTTCGGTATTTAATTGTGAAAATAAAAGAAGTGTTTATGGCAGAAAAAATATAGAGAGAAAAATTGTTATACAGCAAATTATACAATTGACTATAAAATACAAAGTAACACAGTGCATTTTACAATAATTGATAACTATGCACTTTTATGATTTTTTCCGTTTATTTGATGTAAAAGTGCGTTTGCAAAATCATCGTAAATGTACTCTTATAGAGCTGTAGGCAAATAGAGCGTATCAAAATAGGTCTAACTATATTTTAGATACGCGCCTTTTGTTTAGTTTTAAATAAATCATTTAATCAACATTAATACCACTCTTTTTGACCGAAAATGGCATGACGAAAAAGTAACGCACTATATATTTTGCCACGATATTCGAAAAATTCAAAAATTACAAAGGTTGATACATTTTCAAATGAATGTTTGCAAATTCTCTACGTCTATACTTCAGAGACATCCGAAATTCCTACGTCTATACTTCAGAGACATCCGAAATTCCTACATCTATACTTCAGAGACATCCGAAATTCCTACATCTATACTTCAGAGACATCCGAAATTCCTACATCTATACTTCAGACACATCCGAAATTCCTACATCTAAAGAAAATTGAAGATGTCACCTCATTTTCAGATTTACCATCACAAAATATTCTACAACCGTTCGTTTTAAAAGATATTCCCTTGATGTAAGCGAAATATATGTTCCAAATTACAATCATTGAAATTGTGCAATGTTTTATATCACATTGGTGTCAAAATGACATTTGATACTAGTTAATATAGAAAATAAAAGATTGAAGAAAGTGGCAATTTGGTAAATTTCATGCGTCAAATTTGAATGGCAATTCTTCGTGTGAATATTACAATGATTAACTACCATTTTTCGTTATGTTGAATGTGAAGTTTAAAGGCGCTATGTCATTAAATATTTGACTGAGGTATAGAAAGTTGTGTAGATATCGAATTTACGGATATTTTTAATAATTACATTACATGTAAATGATGTATGTTTCACGAGAATTCGTTAGTTTGATTAGCTAACAACAACAGCGCGTCATTCAAAAAATTACCTTCATATCATGTTACATTCGTGATGACACGTGCTTCCACAAAAAAGTGCACAGGTAATTAAAGAAAAACTTGATAAAACTTGTTTTTCATGGTCTTATTAGCATAAAAATGTAATTATAAGAAATGAATATTTCTTTTTGTAATTCTATTGGGGTGTAAAAGTGTTGATCGTGCACACATTTTTAGAATTAAAAATGTGCTTCGGTCAATACTTTTACACCCCAATAAAATTGCAAAAAGAAGCATTTATTTCTATAAACAATCACCTAAAATAAATAAAGCAACCCCGTTTCTGGAAATAGAACGATACAAAAAATGTGTTATTTATAAATTATTTGCCAAATGACTATGGGTTTTTGAATTCTGTTATGTAATGCTTGACTTGCTGCTGAGAATCATTCATAGATATAAATCATACAACACATTTAGGTATAGTATATTACTGAGATCATTTTGATAACATTTTTTAAGAACAAAAAATTCTAAAAGATAGTGGAGATACAGCACTTAAAAAATATTTTTCTCTAAACAACCGATGTCCAACTAGATGAATAAGATATTCTAGATCAATCGAAAGTGTGAAGATAGAACAGTAAAATTTGACAAAAACTCGTAGAATGTAGAAATCTCGTATTATAATTGTATTATAAATATATATAGCTATCTGCATTTTTATCAAAAGTGGACATAGAACACAACAAAGTGTCTAACCTCCTCCTCATTTTATGTCTTACGAAAATGTCCACGTAGCTTGATTTTGACATGTTTTGTAATTTTAAAAATAACGAGCACCAAACCTCACTTTTTTAAAGAAGTATTATTCATCTATACAATTACTGAAAATACACATTGTTGATTCAACCATGCACTCTTTATTTGCAGGGTTTTAAAAAACTGTAGTTGGTTAACATAAAATATAATTGATGCAGTTATGAACTGTAAATTATCCATTTCTAAAATGGAAAAATCAGAAAAAACTAAGGTTTTCGTACTCCAGGCAGATATTTGACATTTTTTGGGGGAAATTTTTAGTGTCCAATGCTCTACATTATTGTAATTAATTTGGTCTTCGAACTGTTTCCAGCGGCACTTATTAGTCTTATATACACGAAATGCTTAGGGAACTAAAGTATAAACCTAATATCTTTGATGAGATTTTTAAAAGAAAATCTCTAGGTTGGCATTGCAGTCGTTAATATACAAATAAGGAGATGTGGTTTGCTTGCCAATAAGACAACTTTCTACCATAGTCGAAAAGACATCGATGTTAGCAACTAAAGGTGACCGGACTGCCTTTAACCAAGGCCAAGCACATACCGTATAGTAACCTGTAGCTTTAAAATGTCCAGACATGATAAAATATGAAACAATTCAAACCAGAAAACCAAAAGCCTAAAAACCAATCAACAAAAAACAAATAGGACAGACAGCAATCAACGACAATCAAAACACTGAATTTCAAGCTACTGACTTGGAAAAGGCACACACAACTGTGACTGGATTAAACATGATTGTAAGTGTTCAACCCCTTCACCTAAACTGGGACATTGGCATAACAGCACAACATAAGCATGATAAGAACAAACTGTACAAACAAGCTGTAAATGGATTTACTCAACAGATTGTTAGACTTTTACTTTGACAGCCATTTAAATTATATATTTTAACTAAAGATAAAGGTTTGAATAGAGTATTTTGTTTGTTCCTTTTGTGTGAACGAACACGAAATCCTCAAATTTCTTCCAATGTCACGTTTATCATTTTTATCTGTTGTAGTAGCATTCGTAATATCACTGCAAAGTTAATACAAAACATTACTTTTTGTCATACCGTTACTAACATAATTACCATTTGTTATACTAGTACCGTTACTGTTATAATTGGCTATAGGCAATAACGTTTCCATGTTTCCTGAATAATGATATTAAAATATATTGGACCATAATATAAAACGACGACAAATATCCATTACACAAAATATCTATAGCTAAGTTTCTGATGTATAGATGCTTTCAGTATGAATAAGTTAGAAATTGTCGGTTTATGTACTCAATTACATCAGTATTGAAATACTGCATTTTACTGAATTTCCCTAACATTTTCACTCCCTCTTTGATCATTAAAATTGTCTTTCATAAACACACGGCTTCATCTGAAATAACGAAGGTAGAGAAAAAAAAACTAAAGAGCAATCAAAATCAATGAAAAGACACAAAAGATACCGAGTGGACAATACAAAATCATTAGTCAGAGAAAATCCAACACCAGGACAAAATACGAAAAACGACGAAAATGCGAAGATCAGCCTACAAAACATTACACAGAAAGCAATTTAGGGGTTGATATCAGGTACTTTGCAATGGAAAGCAGATCCTGTTGCACATGTGGCACCCCTCCTGTTGCTTATGCCAAGAACAAATTCTGTGATAATTCTCATTTGGTGATGTTACACTCATGGTAAAAAAGACGGAAGTTGGCTTCGACAATTATGATATGTGGTAATCTGTGACATCAACCAAATCATTTTGGAGCACTAGTCAAGAAGCGTTTTTCAAGTTGGCACATAAAATGGCCCCTTCATATGCCAACATATTTATGGGCCAACTTGAAAAACACCTCTTGGCTAGTACTCCATACCAGCCATTATCATGGTTTCGATTTATTGATGATGTTGATTTTAAATGGACAGATTCACAAGACCATCTAAATGAATTTCTAGAACACGCTATTTCTTTCCACCATTCAATTAAATTTACACACGAAACATCAAGGGAGGAAATTAACTTCCTTGATACTACGAATTACATCCAGAACGGAACCATGACAACAGATCTCCATACGAAAAAAATAGACAAACATCAATTTCTCTCTCCAAAAAGTTGCCATCCCAAACACTGCTCCCATGGGCAGGCATTGCGAATCAAGAGAATATGCTGAACTGAAAATAAGCAAAATGCTAGACTTGGACAACTACGTAAACATCGGATACAATAACAACAGTATTGATACAGCTTTCGAAAAAGCAAACAGAACTAGCCACCAAGAACTTCTGGAGTACAAGGATAAGAATAAAGGAGTTAACAGAACACCTCTTGTACTCACAAACAAATCTCATTTTAAAAATGTGTCATTCATTGTTGGAAAGCATTGGAAAATTATAGAGAATGACTCCAATTTGAAAAAAGTATTTTCCTCACCACCAGATATGGCCTTCAGAGACCTAAAAACATCCGTGACAAATTAGTGACAACTGTATTAACAAAGCAACCTACTCCACCACCTAGTTGCTAAAAAAAATGGGAGGAAGAATTTCTTATGTTGTAAAGCTGCCAATACAGCAGTTCTTTCATCAGCTCCTTTACAAAACAAAATTATACCATCTACACAAATTCCAACTGTAAAACGGAGAACTCGATTTATGTATTAACATTCAGTACGTGAGAGAAACAATGGACAAATTTAATATTCGGCTAAATAACAAATCGATCATGGTACAAAACCAACAAAAACTGTCCCCTCACAAGACATCTTCGCTCATAGAAACAACCTTTTGATAATGTTACTTTTCAAACTATAGAAGTGAACACTGAGTGGGACACCACGGCGAGAAGGAGAAGAGAAACTCATGCTATTGGGATATAGAGACAACGGTGCCACAGCATGAGTTCGATTCCCGGCGAGGGAAGAAAAAAATTTGCTTCCGCAAATTTGCAGATTTAACATTGTTGTGCTGATATTTAGAGTAATTATCAATATAATATATGTTTTCAGCCCTGTATCACCTTCACTGGTAATCCAATGGATGGATCTGTCGTAGAGTTATCACTTGTTTAG